ACGCAAATATCAAATAGCAAATATCGATTCCTAAGGATTCCATTGTACGAGCCAGACAAACTTGTTGACCTACCTGCATCCTCACGTTGAAGGCCCCCAGATTATGTGATTGTCGAGGATTTCGAATCTGCAATCCATTTCGTGGTAAATTACTCACAATGCTATTTGGCGAGCGACGTCCAAGTTGCTTGAGGGACTATATCAGGTCGGAAGAAGGGGTAAAGGGAAGGGAGTTGGGTACGGAAGAAAAAGAGTTAAACAAAGGTTGGGGTATCTGAGCAGTAACCCACTTATCACTACCCGCCCCGCTCAATGCAATGGGCAGCGCGGTCCTAATTATCCTGCGCGACGACCGATGCAGTATGGAATTATTTTTATTTTGCGTATGCATTGGGGTTTGGTGGACGTATAGTGCTAGGGTGTCCAGCTACTAAGCAGGAGAACGATTAGGGTTCTCATCCAAAGTCTTTAGTTCGAACAAGAACCTAACCGCAAGGCAGCGGGTGAGGCGAAGTGGAGGTCCATTTACTTGGATCGATTACTCCTCCACCGCTTTTTACCGGCTGGAACGCCAATTCCAGTTGAACCCCTAACCTGGAGGACCAGGGGACTGAACTTCGTCTGACCTCTACTCATTGACCGTCTAGGCATGCTTGGGTCTCCTGGCTTGATAAAGATATCCTGTGTTGCTCGTTGGGTTACAGAGGTGTAAAAGCCATCACACCACGTCAAGGTGTAGTCTGATCGTGATGGTTACACATCATTGTATGATGAATACTGCAGGTATTAGGTGTGTGGTCATACGGTCCTAAGCTTGAGACTTTTAGTGGGTTACCACATGTGGTCCCAGGAGAACAGACGGGGTATCAGTCCGGAGTGCAGTGTAGCAGCCTATCCCCAGCAGATGACCCGAACTTCAGTCATGGTCGATTTTGTGAGATTGATAATATATTTTGTCTTCTTATCACCTGGGCGTTAAATTCCCTACTGAAATGTATCGCTTAAGGTTTACCTGACAGCTCTGCTGTCGTCCGGTTCAATACCACGCCTAACCCACCGGGACCTTACGTGGTTCGCCACTCTAAATCCCGGGGCTTAGGTTGCCGGTTTCCACCACTGAACAACAGATCCCCGTGACTGTGGAGTTCGCCCCGTCTGCTGTTCATCACACGTTAGTGTTATAAAAATTTTAAAAAATAAAGAAGTAACGCTTGGCAATCTATCGCGCTCCTGGTGCACCCTCTACCTCTTTGTTCTCCATCATTTACTCAACTCATCTATGGGGACATGCATCAGCGGTGATACCTACGAATCGCTCGTCGGGCGACCTATTCTGGTGTAAGGTCAACTGTCGTCTAAAATCCTCAATAAGAATACGTACGGCACTCGAAAACGGCTACTTATTAGTGCGCCGATTAGATCTCCTGCTTAAACCAACGATCAAACGGAATTCTGTCCGACTAACAGTTTGGTATTGATCCTTGAGATGAACCCATGCCAGGCGAATTGCGAATAAACCCTTAGATAGCCACCGGTAACCATGCAGCAACATACCTCTGTTTTGCAGTCCGCCCTTAGTTGTGCAAGGACCAGGGACGTTTCCTTAAAAGAAAAAAGAGGGCGTCGGTTGTACCAAACTCCACTGTGTCAGGTAAATAAGTAAATGACTGCTTATTTGCTGAGTAAAAAGTGTTTTCTTTTTTTTGGACTTCATCTTCTGCTATTTGTTTCATGAGTGACAACAGAGATTTCTAGCATTGCAATGCCATTTACTTTTGGTTCTCGAAAAATGTTGAAAATTTGTCTCTTCCCAATTTTTCTACTCCATTGCTATTACTTTTGTAAGACTAGTCTCCTGACGCTTATCGGTATCCGAATCGATATCGTGTACTCAAAAATTATGACTCTCGACCATTAAATATATCACTCCGGGTTCATACATTTTCAGATGTATGAGTTTCATGATCCAGACCCATCGTCTGCCACGTCTACATCCGGTGAGAATTTCATTATGGTTGACTTGACTAACGCGAGTCAGAATTTATTGGAACAGACCTTCTGGGCTTATGGCTGTGGTCGGTGCAAGCAACGCTTTCCCAACATGCTGGCATTGGAGGAGCACAAGAACACATTGCACGGTGGATCTGGTCTGATCGACTCTACGGTTACCGAACAATTCCAATTGGACGAGCTGTTGCCGCATCCCTATACTGAGTCTGTCTCGGCTGTTTCGACCACGTCAGGACATGTGAATGTTACACCACGGGCGGAAAATACCCACATCCCTTACGATTACCACATCGCACAACACACAACCCCAAGTATGATTGTGTATGATTTCTCTTCCTCAATCGGTATTCAGCCAACTAGTCGACATTACCGTTCGTGTGTCACGAAGTACTTGGTCCGTCAGCTTCGGCTGTACGGATTGCTAAACCACCACCACCATCAGTGTTGTATTTGGTGATTTTGATCGGTAACAGGTTAGACGAACCTAGAACTGCAAAAGAATCTTGAAAGCACTTCGCAGTGATCTTGACCTGGTTTGATTTCATCGGCGGAATTCGTTGACCCCATTAAGGATCGAACACGAGACCTCACAGATAAAACGCAAGTATGATAACCATTTCCCCAACAGGCAGCTTATCAAACCAGTTCTCATTGTCTGTACTTGGTATAACATAACCAACTTTGTTGCCGGGATCATGTAAGAAGTAGCCTTGGTTCCGAGTGTTTCGCACCGAGTCATAACCCCGCAGTTCAGTGTTTAGATGGCCTAGTTTTGAGTTTCGTAACTTTCTTGCAAAGATTAGTTGTACTACATCGTGTACAGCCATCGAACAATAGTTTGATAAGCTGAACACTGACAAAGTGGATAGTGTGCTTACGTTTTCCCTCTAGGGTCCCAGGTCCAACCCTTAGTCGAGTCGATGAATTCGCACTGTTGACCAAAAATAGTTGCACGGCCCTTCCCAGTTTTCAGTTCCGTATTTCGTTTGGTCTCTACGTGACAAAGCTATATAATCGAATCCATTTCTTAATTACTCGTATGCATTGTTGTGCCACTTATGAGTTGTTCTTTAGGATGTAATGTAATGTAATGTTGTAATGTGAACGTAGTCCGGGCTCTTGCAACACAGCCCAGTGGTCAGAGATGCACGACGGGTTGTATCTCGGCTTATATTTTCGCAACCAGAGACGATACGACGGCAGGGAATAGCGGTAGAGAGGCGGGACATGGGGTGGCGAGGAATCACTGACAGACAGGCCTTCCATGGATCGGGGTTAAAGTTATACCTACAAGGTAAACAAAACAAAACGCCCTCAGAAAGGTCCAGTGAGATACAAACATTCACGATAAAATATTACTAGTGCGGTTACCAAGTGTTGCATTTTATTTTCAAACACGTCTGAGTCCAGATTGTGCGCCAAACAAATCACGATAAAAAGAACTTTCCTTAAGAGCTAAAGCTCCGTGGTTTACCCGAGGGCGCGATATTGCCAGGTTGCCCAGGCAAGTGAATTTTCTTGGGGAGTTCACAGCCGGAGCCTTCGGCCAGCCAAAGGCTGACCCGCAAGGCAGTGGAGTGGAATGTGAAACTGCAATCCATTGGGGGACAGTACTCAGTTAATTGGATCATACACCGTTTGGACGGGGTCAAACGCCCAAGGTATCCAGTACACTTTGATACCCAATCGAGTCGGTGACCACTACCACAACCATGGTGTGTGGTTCGCACACCTCTTCCTGGTTGGTTTGTAATCAGTTTTTAACCAACTCCCTTAGGTGAACTGCCAATGATTCACCAACTCGATTTATTGCTCCGGATGTTAGCTTTTCGTTCTCTCACTTTGGTGGGAAAACAGTGCTTAGGGCTTCCTTAGCAGAGGCTATTTGAGGCACTTGGTCTTATGGGTGGTACAAGGGTGAGGTGATCAGCCACAACCCTAGACACCCATCTCCTACCATACTGAAGCTTTTAGAGGCTGTCTTTAGGAAGCAGATATCATTTTACAAATATTTTCATCGATGTTTGTAATCATGCCCTCCCACGCACAACAATCCGAGAATATGTCAGCGCAGATTTCATTTCAGTTGAAGTTCCGGTTCCGGTCTTGTCTTTTGCAGGGTAGGGTACAGACATTCGGTGTCGGTACAGTGTTGAAGATTTTCTTTTTAACTCCTACTGTCCTACTGTACATTCGTGATGCAACGTAGACCCCAGTTGTCCTAGACTTCTAACATTCTTGTGCTCTTGGCTCTTACTGGTTATATTTCATAACCGTATTTGGGGACGGAGTAAATAGTGGCTCTTCAGACATTCACCTTTTCCTTGTTCCACAGAAACTTGACGGTTGCAGGAAGTCGTTGTCGATGCAAATGTAAACTTTGTCATTAGCCTGTTCGCTTGGTAATATGCTTGGTCCATCATATTTGAAGACTGCTACCTCCAGCTTCCGCGTGAAGTTTTGTGGGCAATGCTGAGGCTTCGGTGGCAACTGTGAGAATCTCAGATTTGCTTTGGAGAAAAGTTCCTAGTGTCGTGGGATACTACTCACTTGTGAGTAGTAGGTAACTTTCGGTGATCAAAAATAGAACAAGACCATCAAGGGCCAAGTGTCTGGAAGAATAACTACTGATTACTCTGTACATCACTCTGTGTGTCGGAAAGAATTGCGATGGCATATTTCTCATTAGGTTTTTGTGTTATGCATGCAAAATTACTGATCTCGCAACTGTAATCCTCAATAAATAACTATCCTCGACCAGCACTGCCTTCTGCTATTATAACAGATTGTTTATAAGATTACAACGTCATCCGTATATTCGTAGTCGGGCACCCGTAGTTCCGGACCACGCTATTCCCTATGATAATCTTCGAGGTCCTCTTCCCTTACCCAATCAGTGATATACTTCAACAACACTGGTGAGCGCGGGCATCACTGTTGAGCGTCACAGTTCAGTCGTTCCCTCCTGGTAAGCATGCACTCTTACCATGGCCTATGCGTAGTATGATATCAGGGGTGGATGACGTTTTTCCTGCATTTCATCTGCTTGCACAAAGAAGTATTTGAGAACACCATATTTCCTCTGGAAGATCTAAACTGGTTTTTGTTGAATGAAGCTTATGACAGATCGCTGGGTAAAACTGTAGGTGAGTACGTACTAGTGTGATCTGTTCCGTTGTCATTGGTTGTCCTTGCCGCAGCACGCTCGACAGTCTTCAGTTTACGACACCCGTCGGGATCGTTTTCGAATATGCTCAACTTCATGTACTACTCTACCGGCATTACACCACCCTGTGGAAAGGTGCTCTCTGCGGCATTGGAACCTTGGACTGGAAACAACCATTTAATTCATATGGGTAAACTCGGCCTACCCTGTTTGCAAATCCGCGGCTAAGACCGCGGTTGGTCGTGTGGGTCCGATGGTTCAGTACTTGAGTTTTAATCACGTTTTGATATCTCTTTGATCGCTTCTTGTAGT